TTCCCTTCCCAACCCCGTTCCCTTCCCAACCCCGTTCCCTTCCCAACCCCGTTCCCTTCCCAACCCCGTTCCCTTCCCAACCCCGTTCCCTTCCCCCTTCCCCAGCCCCGTTCCCTTCCCCATTCCCTTCCCCGTTCCCTTCCCCATTCCCTTCCCCGTTCCTGCTTGTCCCCCTCACTGTCTCCAGCAGCCAGCTCAGACTGGTGGTGCAGGTATTTTCCTTCAGGGTTGAGAGGACACTCAGGTTGGGTCAATCCTTGTCCCACAGGGAGCTGCTGGAAGTGCAGATTTTTCCCTAGGGGGGCTCTTGGGTCCTTACGTTCTGTTCCAGAATTTGGAAATGCCGGTGGGCAGCACGGCCCGAGCAGGAGGGTTCCTCTGGGCTGTGATACAAGCCTGGCACAGACCTGGGAGCAAACTTTGAATTCAGCAAAACCATAATTAAAAGAGATGGAAGAATCATTGAGTTTGGGAAAGCTCCCCCAGCCCATGGAGCCCAGCTGAACATGAAGTGAGGAAATGGATTTTCTCCTGACAATGTTTGGAACCACAAGACAGGGGCAGCAGGGCCTGGATTGAGATGGATTTTTTGGGGTCCTTTCCAGCCCAAACCGTGCTGTGATTCCTGCACCAGGACAGTCTCCAGGAGCACAGGGATGAGTGCTGTCAACCAGGAGATTTGTAGGGAGAGCTCCACTGGCACAGGGTGCCCAGAGCAGCTGGGGCTGCCCCTGGATCCCTGGAAATATCCCAGGCCAGGCTGGACATCGGGGCTGGGAGCAGCCTGGGACAGTGGGAGGTGTCCCTGACATGGCAGGGGTGGAATGGGATGAGTTTTAGAGTCCCATCCCACCCAAACCATTCTGGGATTGATGTTTTGTGAGCTTGGCTCAGTTGGTCAGAGCTCTGTTGCCTCTCAGACTGTCCTGTGACACAGTAGGATTTTATTTATTTACTAACAGTGACTAAAAATGACTCAAGTGAAAGATCTGATATGGGATTAAAAGGGCAGAGGAGAGGGGAGAAGATACTTAAGGTGTATCTATTCTTTAAAGGCTTATCTGTTTTGTTAAGAGTCTCTTTAATCCTCATTCCTGGTTCTTCTGGATCAGCTTGTCTGGCAGCAGGAGCTGCAGCTGGAGGTGTGAACTGATGTGTTTATCTCAGGAGAGGCAATATGAAACATTTCCTGAAGAGCAGGAGGTGAGGCTGGTACAGGGGAGTGCAGCTGATCTCGGGGCTGGGACCTGCCTGTGCCCAGGGCTGGCGTTTGATCCTGGCTTAGCAAAGCCCCGCTGAGGCAGGACACACGTGGGGCAGCAGCTGGGTTAGCACAGATCATTTTAGGGTGGGAAAGAGCTGCAGGATCAGGGAGTGCAGCCTGATGCTGGGCTCTGTGCCTCGTTCTCCGTGTGCTTGGGGGATTCTGGCACTTCTGGAAAAGTCCTGTGTTCAGCATGGGGGAGACAGGAGAGCCCTGGAGGGGCTGGAGCGTGTCCAGGGCAGGGAATGGAGCTGGGAAGGGGCTGGAGCCCCAGGAGAGGCTGAGGGAGCTGGGAAAGGGGCTCAGCCTGGAGAAAAGGAGGCTCCGGGGGCACCTTGTGGCTCTGCACAAGTCCCTGCCAGGAGGGGACAGCCAGGAGGGCTCGGGCTCTGCTCCCAGGGAACAGGGACAGGACAAGGGGAAATGGCCTCAGGCTGGGCCAGGGCAGGCTCAGGCTGGATATTGGGAACAATTCCTGCATGGAAAGGGCTCTCCAGCCCTGGCACAGCTGCCCAGGGCAGGGCAGGGCAGGGGTCCCCATTCCTGGAAGGATTTAGAAGCCCTGTGGATGTGACACTTGGGGACAATCAGCGGTGGCTTTGGCAGTGCTGGGGGATGGGTTGGGCTTGGCGATCTCCAAGGGCTTTTCCAATCTAAATAATTCTGTGGTTCTAGGAATCTCCTGGAGAGCAGAGACACCTGGCAGAGCTGGTTGATCTTCCCAGAGCAGCCCAGCAGGACTGGCAGGAGCCAGGCAGGGGTGGCAGGAGGCCAGAGCTGTCCAGCCCATCCTGCTGGGCTCAGGCACAGGACAGAGCCCCGTGCCAGGAGCACTGGGAAGGGTTACCTGGGAGAGGTGCTGGGTGTCCTGGGACAGGCAGGGACAGAACTGGAGCAGCTTTTCTCCCCTCTGCCTTGGCTGCTGAGGTGTCCTGTGGAGTGTGGCCTTCCCTGGCACTCTGGGGGTGACAAATTCATGGATTCAGCCTGAGCCATTTGGGGCTCATCAGGAGCACCTCCAGGGAGGGAAAGGCAGGGACAGCACAGTGCCCACGAGGAAGATGCACAGTTGGAGTTTGGTGTGGTAGAAGTGGCCTGAGCTCCCTGTGGATCTCACTTCTCCTGATTTTGCCTCCTGCAGTGAAAAGGTTGAAAGCACAGATGGAATGGAGATATCCTTAATTTCTGCCCTTCCCTGGGCTCCCAGCTTTGGGATCCAGCTCCAGGCTGGTGGTACAGGGTGAGCTGTCCCCTGGGCAGGGCTGTGTGAATGAACACAAGTTAGGGGGTGATGGAAACCCAAACCTGGCTGAGATCGCTCTGCAAACACCTCAGTCCTGGATCCTTCGGTGGGGTCTGAAGTGGCAGTAGAGCTGGAAGTGAGGTGGGATTTGCCCCTGCAGCTGCAGCAGTGCAAACAAATCCCACTCACATCTGGATCCCTGGCAGTGCCCCAGGCCAGCCTGGACACTGGGACAGTGGGAGGTGTCCCTGCCATGGCAGGGGTGCCACTGGATGGGCTTTAAGGCCCCTTCCCACCCAAACCATTCCATGACTCTGTGAAAGTCAGGCTTTAACATGACTTAACAAGGGATTTTCCCGGATGGGGCCATCAGTTGGAGCTTCCAGGGCTGCTGATGGGGCTGAAGGTAGGGATTTGTTCTGGGAGCAGGGAGATGCTCAGCAGAGCCCTTTCCAGGGGTTGGGATGAGTGGTGTTCCCTGGGGAATGAGGGGCAGGGCCCAGCAGGTTGTGCACAGCTGCTCAAGAGAGGAATGGAGAGTGCTCCTGTCCTTGTGCACAGTCACTGTGGGCTTTGTGCTGAGCCTAAGCCAGGCCTGGCCTTTGATGTGCTGGGCTGGGGTCAAAAGCTGATGATTAAGACGGAAAGGAGGCATTTCCTGCCCATCCCCCTGGCCAGCACACACTGGCCTGAAATATCCCAGTGACGTGGGGTGAGTGGCATCTGCATCTCCCTGGGCCCTGCTGCAGCTGCACTCCTGCCTGCCTGTGCCTGGAAGGGAGCACGGCCAGCCCAGGCAGCCAGGGAAGGGCTGGCAATGTGGCACTTCCACAAAAGATCCCTTTTCATGGGCCACAGTCAGGAACTTTGTGTGTGCAGAGAGTTTCAGACAGCCCCAGCAGTGTCAAACCCCATTTCCTTCAGCTTTAACACTTCCACCACGCTCCCCTGTAGCTGTGTCAGCCTGAAGATTTGGGGTTTTGGACAGTTCCTGCAGCATTCCCAGAGGGGTTCCTGGCTGGGAGCATTTCATTCTCCAGGGAGTGCTGTCTGAGGCAACACACTGGAAGTAAAATTGGGAATTGCACTGAGAGAAGTCCTTTAGCCAATCTCTGGAACCTCTCTGCTCCTTCAGGGGGTGGTGGGGAGGGTCTGCAGTTCTCCCTGGGTTGTGTCCTTGGAGAAGTCCCAGCCATTCAATGGAGCTTTTGGTGCAGCTGAATGTAAATTCACAGTGCAAAGGAGTAACTCCCTCTCCATCTGCTCTTGCTCACCAGGTCCTGGAGAAATATCCCAACACGCCCATGAGCCATAAAGAGATCCTTCAAGTTATCCAGAAAGAAGGACTTAAGGAAATCAGGTGAGTTGAGTGGACCAGGAAAACCCACTGATGCTCTGGTTCAGTTCAGTTTGCTGTTTTCCCCAGCTGCTGAGGAGTTCTGGGACTGAAATGTTGCAGGTTTGGGGTGTGGATCCCAAGCACCAGCTCCCCAGTGAGCTGGGTAAGCTCATCCCTGATTCCCACATGTGCAGGATTTGGCTGCAGCTCTCTTGTAGGATAACCCAGCCCTGGTCAGGGGCTCCAGGGACTGAGGAAAAGGGAGAAATTTTATTTTCTTCTTTAAAAAATATAAGTGAAAGGTGAGTTTGACCTAAGCAAAACTCAGAGTTACCCAGGGAGTAGCAGAGCAGCCTCAGTTAAAGGTTCTTATGTAGAGAGCTTGATCCCTGGTGCTGTTCTCCTTTGTGCTGCCTGCAGGGGTTGTGATTATTCCCTAGGGACATTCCTGGGGCCAGCCCCATGGTATCCATCAGTCTGGGCATGGAGCAACTCCAGGGCAGCTCCTGAGCTGCTCAGCTGAATTCCAGAGTCCTGGCTCTCCAGGATGAGAGATCTCTGCCAGGGATGAGAGATGGGAGCCAGCTCTCCCAGGGATGAGTGAGGAACAAGGATCCATGCAAAGTACAAAGTATTTCTTCTGCTTTCTAAGAGCAAAGAAAAAGGGAGAGGGCCATAGGGAGGATGGGCTGGGCCTGCTTATCTATTCTGGAATTAAGCAGCCATCCTAAATTTGTCCTAATTGTGTTTTCCACTCCCCTCTGCCAGCTGGATCCAGCAATCCATTTGCTTTGCAGGAAATAGCCAAGGGCCAAGTGCAGGAATTGTGCTGGCCCAGCAGCATCTCCCACTTGAGCTGAGGATGGCACATTGCTCTGGGAAATGAGGGATTTATCCCTTCACAGGGACTCCAAATGACCTCACCCAGCTCCAGTGACCAAAGGGAGGTTCCCCTGAGGGTGGGACAGCTTTGCCAGCCTGGGACAGCTGCAGCTCTGTGCTAAACATTGTTAAACTAAATATTGTTTGTCCAAATTCATGAACTGCAGCTCAGAGTCAGCCTGGAGGGACACTGGTCAGGGCTGGAGCTCACTGGTCAGGGCTGGAGGGGCACTGGTCAGGGCTGGAGCTCACTGGTCAGGGCTGGAGCTCACTGGTCAGGGCTGGAGCTCACTGGTCAGGGCTGGAGCACTGGCAGGCCTGGAGCTCACTGGTCAGGGCTGGTGGCAGAACACAGGGACAGCACACACCCAGCACTGACACTGATGAACCTTTTTAACAAAATTCAGTGGTTTTTGGGCAGAGCCTCAGGCAGGAGCCCAGGGGGGACCCAGAAGGTCCAGTCTGTGCCTCGTCAGGGCAGATTTTGAACCAAACAGCCAAAAAAAGCAGAGCAGAAATGCAGCTGTGCCTTTCATCCTTCTCAACCTCCTCCTTTTAGAGCTGATCTGGGGCTGAGCCTGAGCTCTGGGAGTTGTTTTCCTCTCTAAAGGAGCTGCCTTGAGCACCAGGATCTCCAGTCCCAGAGGTGTTTGTAGGAGCAGCCAGGTGGGAAACTCAAATTTGGGCTCTTCCCCTTGGCCACACTGGATGCTGGGCAGGGATCTTTGCTTTTAAACATTACTTTGATGTAGCAAAGCTTTATTTTGGTGTAATAAAGCTTTCTTTGGGTTCAAAGCCGAGGGACTGTCACGTTTGAAGCAATTAAATTGCAGTCAGTGCCAGGATTTGTGCTGGGTTGGGTTTCTGGTCAGTCACAGCCTGTGACAAGATAGATGGGTTTAACACAAACCAGCTTTTCTGAAAGGAAAATTCCTGCCAGGGAGGGAATAAAAGCTGCCAGGTGAGGTTTATTTGGGAGCAAAGGATTCCCACAGAGCAGCTCATCCTTAAACCCAGCCAGCTTTGACTTTGGGGTGTGTTTGTTGTGGGTTTAACTCCCCATTCTGCAGCCTCAGGTGCTTGGAGGTGATGAGTTAACATCACCTTTCACATCAGGCTTTTGGAAATCCCGGATGCAGGGAGCTGAGAGCAGCTTTGGAAGTGACAAGTGGCTTTCCCAGAGCCTGGGAGTGGGGAGCCCAGCTGGGGTGGTTTTTCTGTTGGCCAGGAAACAAATCTCCCTGGGATGAGCCAGGGCAGGAGCTCCAGGGCGTGGGGGGAGAGCTCAGAGGACTTGGAGGCACCAGGTCCGGTGGGGAGGGTTTGGAATTGCAGTGGAATGTGGAATAAAATCAGGGAATGGGGCATTTCTGCCTGGTGCAGGACAATTTGGGAATGTTTTGGACAAGAGCAGGGCTCTCACAAGATTGTTCTGTAGCAGTGCAGAAGCCAGGGGGATCCTGGCTGACCTCAGCTGGATTCAGGATTTTACCCGGTTCCTCAGGGGATTTTAGCAGTGATCTTTGTAAAGGTGAGCCCAGGACTTGGAGGAGTTGAGGCTGGATTCCTCAGACATCCCAAAGCTAAAACTCCCCTTTTTCGTGGGATCTGTCCCCCCACCTTTTCCCAGTTTTCCTGCTGGGACAGGCTGCTCCCTGGGGAGCCTGCAGGCCGCTGCTTGCAGCCTGAAATCCGTGGAAAAACGCCCATGGGTGGCTCCAGGACCTGCCCCACATCGCAGATTTTGGCTTTATCTGCGCTGGCATCGAGGCTTGGGGAAGCCTGGGCGTGTTGTGGCACTGCCAGGGGAGGACAGCACATTCCCAGCTGGGAATGCTCCCTGCTCTGGAGCTGATGGGCACCGAGCCAGCAGCAGGAAATCACTTCTGCCTGATGAGGAGTCACTTTTTAAATCAAAAATTGGAGTTTTTGTTGGATTTCCTTGGTCTCCCTGGGGGCTGTTGGATCAGTGTAAGAGTATCTAATGGAAATGAGTTTTTTGGAAGGTATCTCTGCTGGTTTTTCCTCTCAGTAGCCAATACCACTCCATTTTTTCCTTGGATTTTTTGTCAAGCACCATCCTGGGAGCTTTGGCCAAACACAGGAGCAGGTTCTGCCCAAATAATGGCTAAACAAGGAGATAACCTGCACTGACCCCATGTCTGAAATGAGAGCAGACAGTGTGCTCTGCCTGCTTCACTGCAAATACCCCTGGAATTTCTGCCATAAACCCAAACTGACTCTTGAACCACTTTTTGAGGGGAAAAAGGCACAGAAGCCAAATTTCCCTTTTGACTGGTGGTGTTTGGAACAGAGGGAATCAGAGAATCCCAGACTGGCTTGGGTGGGAAGGGGCCTTAAATCCCATCCCCTGCCATGGCAGGGACACCTCCCACTGTCCCAGTGTCCAGCCTGGCCTTGGGCACTGCCAGGGATCCAGGGGCAGCCCCAGCTGCTCTGGGCACCCTGTGCCAGGGCCTGCCCACCCTGCCAGGGAACAATTCCTGCCCCAAATCCCATCCAGCCCTGCCCTCTGCCACTGGCAGCCATTCCCTGGCTCCTGGCCCTGCCTGGGATCTTGTCCCAGGGGTTGGATGTTGCTCATGCTGAGTGTCTGGGGTAGGACAGGGACTCCCAGACACTCCTTCCTGAGGGATCAGCAGCCTGGGTTACCTCAGGTCCCCCTGAGTGAGGACTTTGGAATGTGGGTCTGGTAAAATGTCCATGAAAACACTGCCAGCCTCTTGGGCTTGTCCTGTGCAGGATTTCCTACTCCCAGCTGGGGTTCTGTGGCTCTTCCACAGCATTTTGCCAGTGGCAAAGGGGAATTTGTTGGAAGCATTTTCCTTGTAGGGTGGTTCAGTGTTTGCCTCTGAGTTCCTGGGAGGGCCCCAGTGGGGTTTGGCTTCCTCTGGAGCACCTGGAGCTGCTGGAGAGAGCCCATGGAGCCAGGCTGGGAGAGCTGGGGGTGCTCACCTGGAGAAGGATCCAGGGAGAGCTCAGAGCCCCTTGCAGGGCCCAAAGGGGCTCCAGGAGAGCTGGAGAGGGACTGGGGACAAGGGCTGGTTTTCTGAAGCACTCAGTGGCTCTGCAGAACATGAGAACATGTGCAGAGATGAGTTGGTGGAATCCATAAATAATAAATGTAGGGCAAAACAGTGGTTTGAAGTTTAATAGTTCAACAGGAGCATTGCTACAGAAAGGTTGGGCTGCTGCCACTGGCAGGGAGGATTAAATACAATTATTGTGTGTAGGAGGAGCTCATGGGGTGACTCTGTGCACATCCCTCTTACAGAGGTATGAAACCCATAAGTGACAGAATATTCCCCTTCCCTCATCCCAGCCCAGCCTGTTTGTAGCAGTTCTGGCTGTTTCCCTGAGATGAAATTGCAGAGAAGTTTCCCTGCTGTGCAGAGGGATGTTCACTGTTGAGGGGAGAGGTGTGGGTTGGATCCCTCTGGTGGTGAGGAACCTCAGAGCTCGGCTGGGAACACCAAAATGAGGCCTCAAAAGTGTCCTGAGCTTGGGGTTCCTCTGCAGTTCCTTGGGGCTCTGTGTGGGAGCACAGAGAGGATCCCAAAAGCACTGGCATTTGAACTCCAGGCCCCACAGGAACCTTTGATCAGGAGCTGCTGGTTCACTCCCTGAGGATGAGAAGGGCCCCAGTGCTGAGATCCTGGGGCTGCTGCCTGAAAGCCACACAAGGAAAGGCTGGAAAGGGATTTTGTTCCCAGCCAGGACTCACCATATCCCAGTCTGATGTTCCTGCAGCTCAGTGGTGATAGACCTTTACTCCAAGCTGTTCATTAGTGCAGCTTCAGGGGGTTCTGAGAGCTTTGTGGTGTCCTCCAGACTGATCCCCACGCCCAGGTTTCTCGGGGGCCTTCAGACTCAGTGCTCCACCTGAACTCCATCTCTGGCTGTGCCCCTATTCCTGCTCTGGGACACCCAGCAGGAGCTCCAGGAGCCCAAGTGTGGCTCCTGGACTCCATCTCTGGCTGTGCCCCCATTCTGGGACGCCCAGCAGGAGCCCCAGGAGCCCAAGTGTGGCTCCTGAACTCCATCTCTGGCTGTGCCCCCATTCTGGGACACCCAGCAGGAGCCCAAGTGTGGCTCCTGAACTCCATCTCTGGCTGTGC